AATAAAAAACAACCTTCACTAATGTCAAAGTTTAATTTAAGCAACAGATAACTGGTAAATATTATTTTATCTCTTTTTTTCTCTCTTATCGTCCATAATATTCAGAGTCAGACATGACTTATCCGAACCTTGAACTGTATGTAATTCCATACACTGCTTCAGTTTAATTATTGTATTAATAGATTCGTCAAGTTAATAACTGGGCAGAGAATCACACATTTTTGAACAAAATGGAATGGAATTAACGTTTTTTCGGTCACAAACAAATTTTCGTTCAATGAGTCAAACGTCTTGCGGTGCTGTGGTCACCTCTGAAGACGGTAGCTGCGCGTGCTAGCGAAACATCCACATCAGAGCCTCAGCAGCATCAGCGGTTTTTTTGGGAAAATCGTTCGAAATTCCGAAAAGTTCGTTCAACCGCAATTTCATTCTTCATCCGCTTTCGATCTGGCTGGTATTAAACAACGTATTACACATTATTTAAGGGGTCCGATACCTTTGTAGTGTCAAAATTATAAACTGGCGTTTGGCACAGTTCGACATGTGTAAGTCAGCGGGGTCCCGAACCAGGATGGTCTATAACTCTTTCGAAACCGAGGCAGGTGAAACGGTTTATTTTTATGCAATCGGTGGTCTGAATATTTATGTCATATATTTTACTTTTATTTTTACCGATGCGACGATATAAATATCTAGTTTTAAAAGAGCAAGTCAAGTTTTATGAACTTGTTTACAAGAGGCCCGAGCAGTTATTTACCGGGGAAACGTTTCAGCTTTTCCGTGATAGAAAGTTTACACTAGTCAATATTTCCTACATCAAAGGTTGCGGTTCTTATGGACCATTCATTTATTTTTCACAGTATTTGCAGTTCATTTATAAGTTGAACAATCAGAAGCCCTGTTTGCTCTCAGTTTTGTTTTCTGGATGCAAATGGACGCGCATTCCTTAAAGATCCAGGTGGAAAAACCACGAAAGGAAGCAAACTTGTTTAACGAAGTCTGTCTGAAATGGTTAATGGGGGTCTGAAGAGCTTCCCAGTAGGAAATACTTGGGGAAATCAGTGAACTTCTTGCTGAAGATGAAGTAGTGTTTGAGGCCATGAAGTTATACCCTTTGAGGTTCCTAAAGAACAGGCGTTTTTTAGAGCTGAAGATAGAACAAATGATTAGGCACGAAAAAATGAAAAGCCCTAACTATTTTCAAAGTCAAAGAGACCCAATGCATTAGAACACCAAAACATCCATCAGGAAACTGGCCAAGAAATTGTTGAATGAGCGACTCCAATTTAATAAGCAATGAAGATGTGAGAAGGAAGTGCAAGCACAGATGATGAAAGCCAGTGGGTTTTTCCAGCTGGTTGAAAGATTCATATGGAAGATCAAGTACTTAAATGTTGAATGAAAAAATCTTAGGATGAACAGCATTCGAAACATGGAATCCAGGATGTGGCCAGATGATTAAGAATTCAAACAGTTGCATTAAATATAGTGGCATTGTTTGTGATTTCATTTCCTCTTCTTGTCTGCAGAACTATTAGATAAGTAAGTTATTGAGTTGGATTATTAATAATAATGAGAGATAATAATGATTCTCTCGATGAATGAAGTCAAAACAGCGAAACAACAAATCGCACAGAAAGCTTGAAATATTTATCAAAGAAGAGAATCAAAGACACCAAGCAAACACAGGCAAATTTGTAAAGGATCTGAACGTTTTACTATCAGAGTGTTGATGACTGTCACTTCACAGTAACAGTATTTTTTTATTTATTAGTCGTTTAATCAGTCTTCTCATCATCTTCTTTAGGTTACTCTATTTAGCTTTGTAAGTAAATCGACGAAGAGGCAAAGATTGTATCTTTTGAAGAAATGATCCAAGGAATACGCTTTTAATAGAAGCTGAATTTGCTTAATAAAATTTTTCTGGGTTTTCAAATTTATATATTTTTTTTGCATTCAAAAGCTCGTTTCGTCCCTAATGAAAGCTGTGAATGTTTTGCATTATACAGCAAACATTTCGGGGGGTTTCGATTTGCCCTCATCAGAGATTTTTCGAAATTTCACTATTTTTTTCTAGCGTACTTTATGCTACGATTTTCAAAAGTTGATGTTATTAATGGAAGAGTTCAAAATTTGGGCAATTTTTGATTGACAGGCTAATTGTCCATTATTGGACCCCTGAAATTTTCGATTTATTTTCATCATCAGAGAATTTTTTTCACATTTTTCCGAYTTTTGAATAGTTTCAATTTTGGGCATTAGGGCATTAAGTAGAGAACSACTTGGCTASTGACTTCTGGAAGTTTCGAATTGTTGCCATCATCAGAKATTTTTTGGCGAATTTTCAAATTTCGTTGGTTTTATTGCATAATTAATGCTCAGTCTGTTCAAAAGTAAATTCCCTTCTTCGATGAGATAAAATTTTGAGGCTCTGTTATTATGCAGCCAAGCTGAAGATGGAACAAATAATCAGACAYGAAAAAATRAAAAGYCYTCACTATTTTCACAAACTGTGTYAGGCGGATGATGGGAMACTCATCGCGGAAAGATCAAAGAGACCCAATGCATTAGAACACCAAAACATCCATCAGGAAACTGGCCAAGAAATTGTTGAATGAGCGACTCCAATTTAATAAGCAATGATGATGTGAGAAAGAAGTGCAAGCACAGATGATGAAAGCCAGTGGGTTTTTCCAGCTGGTTGAAAGACTCATATGGAAGACCAAGTACTTAAATGGTGAATGAAAAAAATCTTAGGATGAACAGCATTCGAGACGAAGACCTTGAGGAACAACATGGAATCCAGGATGTGGCCAGATGAATTAGAATAAGACGAACACTGTAGAATAAACCCGTTAACAGAAAGGACGACGAGAAATCACCAAAAATCTAGAAGAAAAGAGACAAACCAGGCGTTTCACCACAAGAAACCCGTATTGAAAAAAAAGCACACTTTTTCGAAAAGTGGTTGCCAGTCTTCGTTCTATTGAAACACGAGTTACGATTTACGCAAACCAAAACCTTCATTTGTTCCCAAATGGCCACAATTTTTACTCCGTCCCCAAAGTTACCAGACAATCTTGTTTCTTCCATCGAAACACAACTACCTTCTTAGACAATCCCATGGGTGTTGAGTTGCATAACCCAATAATATAACATTTTTCCAAGCCAGAAGAGAAATCGATCTTCGATCATGGCAACTTTCCTGCAAGGTATGAAACAGATTAGGCGTTAATCGGTTTATGCAAGCGGCTTGCTGCTTTGACACGCCTTAAGTGACACGTAATTTTTGATTGATTGGTCCATCAGGAATTACTGTTGGTTCGTAAAAGTATTTGCTTTAGAAAAAAACCGGGGAAAAAACCAAGTGGACGTAGGCAAATCAGTATCAGTTTCAACGTGGATTCTTCGAATTGATGAGGAAATGTTTGCACCAGAGTGGAATTTGGGAACGCAGCTTTCGACCACTAAGGCACGTTTTATATGCAACACAATAATACTCTCGACACCGAGCTTTGTGGCTGATTTTTCAATGAACTTTGGGCATTTGCTAGGAGATTAGTGCCTTTCCGGTATTTTTATACAGAGCATTCAAATGCGTTTACAGCCACCACATAATCGGATAGGTTTCGGGTTAACAATGCCCGCTTCCAACAGAGGGTCCGATTTCCCCGGCTTGTCCATCGTTCCGATGTCTTTTGTAGCAGAACCTGATATTAATAATCACAGAACAAATCCTGCCTTATCACAGCTGATAACAGTTTAGAAGGAGCTGATTAATCAGCTAAACGAATTCGAGGACGCAGTTAATCCTAGTCCGGGTTGCACACTTCAAAGATATAAAACGACAATTCAGGTAGTCCATAATAGACCCACAAACTGTTTTCTTCTAAATTGTCATAAATGGCACTCAAAAGCTACAGTTTACTGTTATCGGCCTAAACATCTGCTTTGTAAAGGGAGCCTTAGGTGGTCCTTAGATATGGACGATGGCTTTAAATGGTTTTAAAATGATGGACTTGGTGACGAATTTGACAATAATTCCGGTATTTTGGGGTCTGTGTCCTTCAGTTCACAGTCACAGTGTTCTTGTTCTTGTAGGCTTTGAGTATTTGTGCTCGATTTACCGTTCATTCATAAATAATTCGGGTGGTACCTACCAGATAAAGCCACTGTTCCACTATTCTCAAAGTGGTCCGAATGAAAAATAATCATCACTTTGGGTCTAACAGTAAGTTTTTTTTCAAATAATTTGCATTTATGCATGGGCCTGGTAATATGCATGATTCTAGTGGAACCCACCTGAAATCCATCATCAGTGTTTCAGCTGCACCTCATGTAGCGTTTCAAATTGTATCTAATTACAATGTGAATTTTTCTTACTGCTTAGATGCAGAAAATTACACCGTTTGCCTGTCTGGTGCGGGCTTAACGGTAAAAAATTCTTTGATATTCCCCAGATAAGAGCCATTTCATTATATGGTTCACATATACATAATATGTGCTCTTACCCTTGATACTTTATGGAAATGTCGGATGTACCATAAGCGGTGATTATCATAGAAAGTACAAGATTTAGTTTAATCGCGTTATTATCCAGGTTCCGTTATGGTTTCCTTCTTATTCACCTCAAACTCACTTGGGATACATTTAGTTCAAAAGCCTCCAAGAATTGTGCTTTGGTTTTCATTCAGACTATTCAGAGACTTCATTTCAGATGCTTCTTTAATTTTTTCAATTAACTAAAAAATTGATAATTTCATAAAAAATACACCTTTATTCCCTCTGATTAAAAACCATCATTAACGGCCAAAAGCATTCGTAGCCTCTGCTCGATTGGGGCATTCTTGTTGATTATTGCGTGTAATATATTATTATTTTGCAGATAAATTCGGCTTTTTCCCCCGTATGGCCGTTAAAATAACTCATTTGTCAGATTTACTAATGAGTGAACGAAAAAAACGAGAATAAATCGTGGCAGTTAACAAGCACTGAAACAATAATTATTTGTTGAAAAGAATTTATTAATATGGTTGTGTGGAGCTCATTAAGAAATATTTGCCAGGTCTTTCCTTCTATGGACATTTTTTTCGTCGCGAAACAGGAAGTTACTGATTATTGCTGTATAAATTGCACGTATGGAAGGGGTTTTTTCACCCTGATTTCGTTAAAGTATTGGAATTAATTATTTATAAATATTAATAATCCCGATACAAGGAACAGGAAGGCAATGGCGACAATTAGCTTTTTACAGAGAACTCTTTGGTATGGAAGCCAACTTCTGCCTGATCTGAGTGAGGGGACAGTGATAATGATCGTCCGGTGAGGGTTTTTGAGGAAATATCTTTGAAATTTTCCTCTGCCTTGAGAAGATATCGGGCACAAAAATCTACTTACAGTCTTAAACTAACAATCAACGTGAAAACCTAATCAAATAAATCAAACTGTAGACCTTCGAGTAGCTGCCACTGATGAGACATTGTAAAGCCTCCAGTAGTAGGTGAAACTGGAAAAAACCACCCCCAAGTGCAAACCCTTGACGCAGATGTAGAATAAATATTCCCTATCATCCATTTTCCGATTGCTTCGCACAACATGCGAAAGGGTGAATCCAGCATCGATAAAATGGCTGATAATCAGGCAAACGAGAACGACCTTTACTGCGTCCAGTCGCACGGATTTCCAGATTAATGGGAAATAGATGATGATCACCAGGATGCCGAACAGACCTGGAATGGAGTTGGGGATTTTAGCGTTTGGTTGGGAGGCCTGCGGGCTCGTACTCATTAGTAGATAAGTGATTCCCCACCAGAACATTTTGGTCCCGAAGACTAGATAGAGACTTATGGCCAGTTTCATATGAGCAGTAATTAAAGCCGTACTGTTCATTGTTAGCAGTAGTTCGCGCAACCATTTTTGGGGCTCTGTAAAGTTCACTTTTTCAACAACCATTTAATAAGGTTTTTAAGGGGCTTACCATCAGCCACAGGGGCTTGATGCGATTGCTGCGGTTCTTCCTTGAAAGCATTGATGGCCCTAATAATGTATTAAATCAGCTTTGCCCTAAGGAAGCGGATGTATTTTAAATGCTTTTTTTATTTCCCTTTCTGTGTCCAAAGATTGATACAATTTTGACAATATTTTCAGTCAGTTTTGGGGGTACGTTCGATACTTAACCTTTCAAGGCATTTTGCAAAGAAAGTGTGCAGTCGAGGAAAACTGTTAATTTCACGACTTAAAAATCAGTATTTTTGCCACAAATTGCGGTGTTTGGGTGTGTTCTATACGGTTGGCTAATAGAACGTCGTTGAGTTCTAAGGGCTGGAAGTTTAATACAGATACTGCAGTTGAGTGAAATGATGCACATTTGGCCTATCATTCATAAGGTTGGCAAAAATCAGCGTTTTGCGTCATTTCAATGAAATTTCTAAGGTTTTTAGCTGCCAGTGTCTTCCATAGAGTGGTTCAACTGAACATTTCTGCCTGCCGAGGATTGGAAGTTTCGAATTTTTATTGGGGTGTCTGAATTCAAGCAGGTTTTTCTTGTATTTTCTGCAATAATTTTTGGTCCCGTCTTTTCAAGGTTCTAAAATGTTTAAATTTCCTGCGATTTTCGTACAAATTTGACGAGTTTTAAAGACGATTGTCTTCTATAGGCTGTGCGAGTTTCAAATTGTTGCCTTTTGAGAGTTCGAAATTAGGCATTTTCCAAAGAGAGCGAGCGGTTGAATGGAAAAGCTTTTGTGCTGCCGCATTTAGAGGGTTTTAAAAATGCCAGATTTTTTGAATTTTCCTACAAATTTACTGTTTTGAGAGTCAACTATGTGCTATAGGGTTTTGCAAATATAGGCAAATGCAAGTCGCCAGCTTTTGAGAATTGGAAGTTCAACATTTCCGAGAGAGAGAGAACAAATCAGTAAAAACGAATAAACGTGGATTTCTAGGTGGCAATTACCGAGTTCCCAAAATTCAGGTTGTAGTCCAATTTCAGGGAAATTTTGAGTGTGTCCTGCTTCGAGCATCTTCTATCGGGTGTGCCAATTTCACGTCGCTGTCTTCTCAGAAGTGGAAGTTGGGGATTTTTAATGGCGAGTCTGCATTTGGGTGCAAACATTTTTGACGCTCATTTCTACCGTTAAAAACACATTTTTTAAATTTTTTATTTATTTTTAAATTTCAGGGCTTTTAAACTCAAATGTCTCCTACGAGATGCGAAAATTTAAAGTTGTTAACTTGGCAGAACTAAAAATTACGCATTTTCCAAAAAGAGCGTGTGGTTGAGTAACAAAACTTTTTGTCTCGCATCCACAGCGTTTTAAAATTCGGCATTTTATGCAATTTTATTGGAAATTTTACGGTTTTTAGAGCCGATCGTCTTCTACAGGGAGAGCGAATTTGAATAGCAAATTTCAAGCCGTTACCGTCCTGGAATCGGAAGCTAGATTTTTCAAACGAAAGGGCTCAGTTGAGTGAGCATTTATTTTTTTACTCGTATTCACAATGCTGTGAAAAATTCCCATTTTTGGCCATTTAAGGGGCAATTTTAGCTTGCGTAGGGTCAACTGTCTCCTATAGGGCATGCGATTTTCAAGCCGTTACCTTCAGAGAACTGAAAGCTAGAAATTTTCCAAACAAAGTCTGTTTCTCCCGTCTAGTTTACGATGGAACCATTTGTCAGCAGGAAAATTATAAAAGTCGCCGGATATAATTATGATCGTCCATCAAAGGAAACAATCCAAAGTAAGCCAACCTGAATACATGCAATAATCGGCCAATGGCTGAATGTGTTTTTCCCATAATACGAGTAGCAAATTGCCACAGCACCTTTTTCAGCCAAATTAGCAATTCTAAACGAAAAAGATCAGCAAATCACGATTAATATAATTAAGACGCTAACAAAACAGTACCGTGTACATTTAGTTATTTACAAATGACAGTTACGATTGGTGCTGGAAATGTAATTGCGAATTGTAATTGTTTTAATTGTGCATTATCTCGAACCGAGATTGCAGGTTAATTTATCTGGGCAATTATATCTATGATTGCAGTTGTTTCGTGTTATTAATGTAAATACGAATACATAAGTTTAATGGTCAAGACCTGGAACTCTGCCTTTTGTCTATCGGTAGTTTTATTGTTGCACACTCTATTTATTAACCATTAACTTTCTTCTCATTCTCGTCAAAGACGTTGAAGAAAATGTTTGAATAATCCTCATTTGGTGTTAAATAAAAGAGGCGACAAAACGATCAAAAGCTATCACATGCATGTGGCATTTCCCCCGAAATTAAGAAAAAGTTCGTCGTTTCGTTGCAAAGATAGCGGCCATCTGCTATCTGTTATTCGTAATATGAAAACAACATTCTCAGACATCCAAATAGAATCTCGCTTTTGTAAAACATTATAATAAGAAATACAAATAAATATCAACACATATATAATATTTCAATATCGAAATCGCCGTGTTTTAATACGGATGCCCTGATATCTCTTGCTGACCTATGCTTTGACTTCCTGAACTTTTGATAAGCTCGTCTGTGGGTGTAGAAACACATCGTCGGTTTTAAATCGCTTTTAAAACACAAGTGATTTGACTGGTTTTGCGGTTTTTGCCTGTTTTACTACGGCTTAATCACCAGTAGCAGAACTATGAAAGAACATTTATACTAAACTGACAAAATATTTTTATTGAGATTGTTTAAGACGAGGTGTAGAAAAGCATAAGCCATTACACGTTTATGCAGATAATTCCACAATTGCAAATGAATTGATGAATAGTTTGGTGAATTATTGGGTTTAACGTCGAGCTAATGTAGAGGATGAGCTAATTTCAGCCAGTGAAACTCTCGAACTAGACGGGGCTTTTATTCGAAAATTTATATAAACCAAAAATGTCTTTCTGTTTTTCAGTTATTGACAAAAAATAATTTTTAAATAATATTAAAAGAGTCGATTAATTGTTTCATAAGTAATCAGGAAATACCTAGGAATGTTGGAGTCGAGTCTGCATAAGAGAATTTAAACAGTTGCATTAAATATAGTGGCATTTTTTGTGATTTCATTTCCTCTTCTTGTCTGCAGAACTATTAGATAAGTAAGTTATTGAGTTGGATTATTAATAAGAGTGAGAGACAATAATGATTCTCTCGATGAATAAAGTCAAAACAGCGAAACAACAAATCGCACAGAAAGCTTGAAATATTTATCAAAGGAGAGAATCAAAGACACCAAGCAAACACAGGCAAATGTTTAAAGGATCTGAACGTTTTACTATCAGAGTGTTGATTATTTTCACTTCACACTAAAAATATTTTTTTCAAGAACATTTTCAAGTTGTTGGCATCTCAGCAATCTTTTGATTCTCTTTAGTTTATTCTATTTAGCTTTGTAAGTAAATCGACGAAGTGGCAAAATTTGCATTTTTTAAAGAGGTGATCGAAGGAATACGCTTTTAATCGAAGCGAAACTTGCCTAATAAATTAAATTTATGTAATTCCGACTTTAAGAAAATTTTAGTCAGTTTTCAAATCTTAATTATTTTCTTTGCCTTCAAAAGCTCGTTTCTTCCCTAATGAAAGCTGTGGATATTTTGCATTATACAGCAAAAATTTCTGAGGGTTCCGATTTGCCCTCATCAGAGATTTTTCGAAATTTCACTATTTTTTTAGGGTACTTTATGCAACGTTTTTCAAAAGTAGATGTTATTAATGGAAGAGTTCAAAATTTGGGCAATTTTTGATTGACAAGCTAAATGTCCATTATCTGACCCCTGAAATTTTCGATTTATTTTCATCATTTTTGTTTTTTGTTTTCACATTTTTCCGACTTTTGGATAGTGACAATTTTGGGCATTAAGTAGAGAACGACTTGGCTAGTGACTTCTGGAAGTTTCGAATTGTTGCCATCATTAGAGATTTTCTGGTAAATTTTTAAATTTCAACTTTTCTGTTGCGTAATTTATGCTTGGTTTCTTCAAAAATAAATTAGTTTTCTTATATATGAACTAAATCTTTGAGAATAATATGGCCAAAAATTTTGATTTTGCTATCTGAGCGTTTCGATTTGCTGCCCCAATCAGTGGTTTTTTGCGAATTTTGAAGTCGCATCTAAGCAATTTCTTTTATAATCCATAGAGCTTATTCTGAAAAGTAATTTGTTTAATATTACACTATAATTTTCCGCTTTGTGGCATTATGGAGTGAAAATTCTCACTAGTGAACTATGAGGGTTTCGAATTACTGCCATCATCAGAGATTTTTCGGCAAATTTCCGAAGGTCAATATTTTTCTTGCGTAATTTATGCTCGTGCTTTAAACATTAATATCTTCATTAATAGAAGAGTTCAATATTTTGCCATTTTTCATTAGCAAGCTAAAAGTCGATTTATGGCCCCCTGAAAGTTTCGATTTGCTACTGTAAACAGAATTTTTTTTCGAATTTTTAAGATTCACCTGCATTCTTTTCTCAACGTATGCAGGCTGCTCGAAAAAAATCCAAATTCTCCGCTAATTGAATAGTTATAATTTTGGGCATTGTGGTATTATGTAGCGAACTGTCTGACTAGTGACCTCTGGAAGATTAGAATTGTTGCCATCATCAGAGATTTTTTGGCGAATTTTCGAATTTCGTTGGTTTTATTGCATAATTTTGTTCGGTCTGTTCAAAAGTAAATTCCCTTCTTCGATAAGATAAAATTTTGAGACTAGGTTTTTTCTGAACGTTTCGCGTCCATCATCAGAGATTTGTTGTCAATTTTTAAGTCTCTTTATTTCATAATGTACTTATGCAGGTTGCTTGATTTCATAATTTGTCTTATAATGGAACAGTTATCATTTTGCGCTTGATCTCGTTAAGTAGCAATATTTTCCATTGCGTAATTTATGCTGCTTTTGTCGCTTGCTCATGTAAATTCAAATACCATTTGCATCTGCTTCTATCAATGTCCAGTGGTTATAGAGGATAGTCCGCCTTCCAACCGAAGCAGCTAAGAAACGTCTGCGAAGTCTCGGTATAAAATCTAAGTTTTTTTGTTAAAAAATCCGCTTTAGTCAATTAGGCTTTTAGACAAATATTCTAAAAAAAAATTGAACTTTTCTCAATTTATAAAGCATGGCAACATGCTGACTTTGGCACCTGTACAGGAGGTTTGGCTCATTAATATCCTATAAATAACCGGTTCGGGAAAGCGATCGACTATAAATCAAAATAAAACCGAAGGAAAATCAAACGTACTGGAGCATTATAGAAACATGTATCACTTGCACAGTGAGCAAATAATTTCAATTGAAACTGGTACTCGACTGTATTCGTGTTTATTTAAAAATCGCCATTGGTTGGCAGCATTTTACCATATTCAGAAATAATTGTATATCATTTAAAATAAACCGAGGGAAAAGTCTGCATTTGTGATTGGACAAATGTCAGCGCTGCGCGACACCAGAATACTAAAAAACCCGACCTGACTATATACGTCGAAATTGAAGTTGTCTTCACTGAAGAAAAAAATCCCCGGGACTTTGCAAAAGGCAGCCGATCCGTTTACCAAAACGGTGTGATATTTATTTTAAAATTCATTAACATGGGGTTTTTAATTCTAATTCGTTCAGCCATTTATGGGTGTCGGCCTTAAAATCTGCAACATGTTGAGGACTGAAAGAAGGCACTAACAGCTGAAAAAAGTGAGGATGCTTAGTGTTGCTGGTTTTATTGTTGTAATTTTATCGGCTCCTTGTTTAGTTTATTTCGTTCTTCACGTTCATTGCCTGAAATTTTTGGTATATTCCCTGCTTAGATCCTCATGATGGATGGAAATATTTGGGTCAATTCCAACAGTTTAGTTAGTTGTTTTCGCATGTTCCAACATGAAATGTCCTCCTTCCTAAACGACTTCAACTAATATCGCTAATTTATCCCCGAACAACGATTCCACATTGAATCAATCTTCGATGGCATACATCTTTCGGCTAATCGCCCATTTCCAACACTATTTATCGGAATCCTGGCAGTTTTTTTCAGTGATTTAGACCCGAACTGTGCGCTCGTATCACAAATATTAAAGAAATGTTGTTTTGGCGCTTGTTACAAATAACTTAGGCTAATTTATGAGACGACGGTGACATTGTTTCAGGGAGTGGGCCCAAAAAATGTATCATTTATAAACTCAAGGAAAATGTTGTCAGATTTATCGAAAATTGCGCGCCTAGTGGGAAAAAAATTCTAAATAATTATAAATAAAAAATAATTAGTTAATATTCTTTTTAATTTAACTTGAATTAAGGTTGAGCAACTTGAGAAATCCAATTTTTTCTCCCATTCCAGATATCCAGGGCGTCCCAGTCCAAGATATTTAGCGGGGTAAGTTTCAAAAAACCATTGTAGTCAAATTTGTATCGTTTTAGTACATAGTTTAGCCCTACGATGGATAAAAAAAAAATTGGAAACTCTTTAAATCTGGCAACAAAGTTCCAAGCTATAAATACCGGTCTTTGACGTTGACCAAATTCACTGGATGAATTATGAGCGCGATTCGTTTTTGAAAAATGTACTTTTGAGGCCGTTAATTACGGAACCCACCGCCACTGTCACGGTGTCGCTGTTGTCGACTTGGTCGCAGACAAATGACTGTCGTGGTAATTTATATCCGCACCCAAAATAGGACGATAAAAAACAGCTTCTATTCCAGAGCAAAAAAACACACACACACTCACACATTGGAGTTATGAATGAATACGGCGCTTAAAAATAGTTCAAAGCACTGTCACTCCGAATGGTTAAGACTTAAGTTCTCACTGACTTTTATATTTTATCTGGTTGAAATTTATGAGCATTTTCCCCGTCTATTTTCGAGTTTCCAATGGGAGCTTCCTCATTTTTTTATTATCGCGATTCGTCTGTTTACGTGTGTCTGGATAGCGGGTTTGGGACTGGACTAAAACTCCCTCTGGAAACCTTCAAAAATCCGGATTAGCTGGTCAAAACCTCGGCAATTTTTCGAGAATAAAAGGAGTTTTCAATCCAATCCAGACAGATTTTTTGCACTTTGGGGACGGTACCGGACTCAAAATATTCCTGTGTTTTTTCGTGCGATTTAAAGGCATATTTTTATTTTCTATGGTGCTATTCAGCTCGTTCACAGCAATGTAGATCGCATCTAAGGCAAGCAGTACCCGTTTCTAAATTCATTTATGTATTTATTTACATCCGCCCATTCTGCACGCTACGCCATCGGCGGATGTCTGAAATTTATATTTATTTTAACACAACCACAAACAACTGTACATTCGTATCATTTTTATTAATGACAAAAAAGCTGTGAATCCCGTAAAAGTTTAAAAGAATCACCTATTTAACAGTGGAGGGTTGAAACTTTGACCGGATTCGAACATTGGACAGCACGGTTCCAAATGATTACCCTTGAAGATGGCAGTTGCTGATGGTGGCAAAACGTCTGCTCCAAGTTGAAAACCATCAGTCTGAAATGTTTAAGCCACGTGTGCAACGTTAATTGCCTAAAGCGAATAGGCTTAGTAAATAATAAAGTAAATCATTGAATGGAACTGATTTATAATTATGTTGCTAATGCACTCAGATTAGTTGCGGGATTTTAGTTTTGAGCTTAATTAAATTTTGCATTTTGCAACGTTGGCGTAATGAAATATTGTTGCAAATTTGTTCCTGCTACAGGGTGATTAATTAAGTACGAGGCTCGGTCAATGTCGCCAATTCCTAATGTTTGCAAAAATTGTACTCGCTAAGCAAATAAAGAACAATCAATGGAAAAAATCACACTTAAACGCCTGCAATTTTACGTGATTCTTCTATGATAAAATGAAGTAATTACTTGGGGTGTATGCAAAAAATGCCAATAATTAATTGAGGAATCATAATTAAATCGAACAACTATGTGAACTGATGTGGAGAATTGAGGCAAAGCCACATTAAAATTGAATCCATTAACATTTCACGTTGTCATAAAAGGCACAAGAGCCAAGCGCGTTTTTTTGCGCACAGCAAGAAAGTTGAAATTGAATAGATTAGCGGTTTTGTCTGTTTTTGGAAACGGTTCTCATTCAATAATCGATCTAGATTAGAGCGCATTTGTCGCATGTAATCGGCATGCCAAAGCGTAGAGAATGAAGATAAATTCTCAATGTGAAGAAGATCAACAACTACGCGACCAGATATCGAAATGGCAAGGAGCAAACCGCAATAAATTCCTAGCCATAGATGACTTTTCGATTTTATGATAGGCAAGTTCTTCTACGGGGAAAAAAGGCATGGCCGAGGAGTTGGATAGAATTTTAAATTTGTAAGGAATTAGCTTTCCCACAGATAAATCGTAATAGATTCTAGAAAAAAACTGCTGAATTATATTTTATCTGTTGGTTGGTGAGCGAGGTTGATGGATGGTACCATCTAAGAAGTTTTCCCAGTACTTTGTGGTACGTTCCCATGCGGCGAAACCACCAGGAGTTCTATCTTTTTCTGCAATTTGCCAGAGAATTAATCAGCAGAATTAACTCAGATTTTTTGGTAACCACTGTTTCATCATCTTTTAGTAGTACTATTTTGAGATGGAAATTAATGTGTTTGCAAACGAATTTTTAGTGGATTTTATCTCTACTTTTCTCTGTTGCTTTTATTATTTTTTGAAGTTGAAGATTGTCGATTAATTCAGTTTGTAATGAGAAAATGCATTCAACATTGTAAATAGATTTGGTTTCATTCTTCAACTTCTTTAGATCTTCATCGAATACGAAATGTTACACACAATTACTTGTTTAGTGCCGCTTTTTGATTTTGTATTTATTTTATATTTAAATCGTTTGGCAATCAGCTGCCGGGTTGC